TTCTTACTTAGATGAAGAGGGCTACTACGACATCAAGGGTCTGCCGCAACACGCACTTGCTATGCTGCATCTGGCTGAAGTCTTCCAATTGAGAGACTTGTACGTCGACGCATTCAGCCACTGCGTTGGAATGAGCGAGGAGCTCTTCTACAGTCCCGAGTATCAGGTATGTTTCGCTTATCTCTAACGGCTGCACGTTTGACTCATAGAACATAGCACATTGGCTCGGTCTCTAAGACGCTGATTCGACGGGCGCGGACTGAGATGAATTCTAGACTCAGTCAAGCAGGTGGCATGCTTAAGAACTTCCTGGAGGAAGAGCTCTCTGAGACACATCTTGGCCTTCCAGCAGGCGGACGTGCCCACCTGGACCGATTCCGATCCTTTATCCAATCATTTTACACGACAAAGTTTGGCTATTACCCGCCATTGTCCTTCGACACTCGCAGTAGCACCATCTTCGACCCTGAGATTTTCAGTACCATGTGCAAGGATTTCAAGGCCGTTTATGACTTGCTCGTAGACGAGGAGTTCACTTCAATCGAGAGTAGCCCGCTCCTTGCGCAAGGCGGGATCTGCGCCGTGCAGAGCGTCCAGGAATTCGATGAGCGATGCAACTTCAAGTCTCTGAGGCATCCGCTACCATTACTGCCCGAGACTGTCAGCGACAAAGCATCCCGTCGCATGTCACTACAGTGGTTGGCGAACACCGCGCGAGGCGACAAGCTAAAGCCTGACCAACGCCTAGTGGCCCACAGTGCCATGATCAAGGCAATGAACATGCGTGACCCAGCACTTCTGGACAACGACTTTGTCCGCGCCTACCGGAAGTTTGAAGAAGACTCCGTTTCACCTCTTATTCGCGTCGATAAAGCCGAGAAGATTAGTCTCGTGGACGCCCGCAAGGTGCGCTGGATTCTGATTTACGCGGTGTACCAAGTGCTCCTCAGCTGCACACAGGCGCCATCAGAAGTTCGCGACACTGGTGCGGACTATCACCTCGCAGTGTCTTGTGAAAAGCTGCCGCCCTGGAAGGAGGGACGCCAATTGCAAACCCTCCTGCGCAAGCAGACAGACATCGCAGTCGATACTAAGCGATCGCAATCCGTCACGGACTGGGCAACGGGCTGCCATGGCACACCGTCTGTGGTTGTGTCGCCGACTATCGAGATTCGACCAGACGTCGACTACACTGCCAGATCCCGCCGCGACGAAATAGCCTCCCGTCGGCAGTCAACATGCGGGGTCCCACCCGCGGCGGCCCCGGCCCGCTCACGGAGCAGGAGCTTGTCCCGCAACAACCCCTTCCGACGATCCCTCAGCATCTTCCGTAAGCTGGAGGAGCAATGTGCTCCGGCACCCCGCAAGGCATCATACTGCGAGATCGTGGTCCACGGTTACGGCAACGGCACCAATGCTGTCAAGAAGTGGGAGGGTCCTCCCGCAGAGGTCTCGCCCCGGACTCATGTTGCACCGCGTTCCTTCTCGACTTCCTCAGAGTCCAGCGGCGCCTCTGAGGCTCCCTCGATGGGTGGTCACAGCTACGCGACCATCGACTCCACGGCGCCGCCGACCTCGCCCGATGCGCCGAGCAAGAATTGGCCGAACCAGGAGTCGCCTATGCTGAGCCCCGTTCCTCTGCGTGGTCGTCGGCGCATGAGGAATGTGCTTTCCTTCGCGGGGACGCCGCCCCGTGCCAGTTCTTCGGAGTGGACGGTAAATAACCGGCGTCACAGCGTTATCGGGGGCGGCGCTGGTAGCTACGCTCATGACTATGAGGAGCTGATTAAGGAGCAGGAGGCAGACTTCCACCGTCATGAGCTGGAGCCTCTTCCCCTGCAGATTCGCAAGTCTTCGATCCCGATTCATGAGTCCCCGGTATTAGGGCAGATGGATGTGCAGCCTGTGTGGGAGCAGTTCAAGGACCTTGGTGGTCTTACTAGCTGCTCCCCTCTGAATATCTAGACCGGCTGGGTGTACTGAGTACTACTCCGGCCGGAATGTACGAATGGTAGTGGCACGCTACCACTGGTGTTGTTTTCTTTGTATGTATTGATTTGGAAATGACGAGATACCCTGTCGCACCCTCCTTATACAGGCCTGCGCATGGCGATGATTGATATGAGCGATAAGGTTGGGGAAGGAGTTTAAGCCTGGATTGTTATGGCACATTGTACAATATTCTCACTGAAAAATCTGAAGAAAGGAGAACGAGATGAGAACGAGCTTCTTACACCTGAACAGTGACTTTCCATATCACAGATGGCGTCCGATGAGACGAGGCAATTTTTGGACTGAACGTGTCTACACACCACTACGTTTGTAAAGGATAAAAAGGCTGCTACCGGCTGGTATTCCATAAGCTTCCTGTCTTTCCATTCGCAGTTCATCTGTGAAGCACATCATATTTGTACGATGGGCGCAAGTGCTGACAGCAACGACCTGTCTCGTCAGCCCCGTGACGTGTTCTGCGGATGGTACCTGCAGGAATGCAGCCATCACGGAGTTGGATGTGCACATGTCAAGATATGCGCGACCTATCGCTCACAGGATGCATCGAATCAGGCTCGACGCCAACTCAGGAGAGATGTAAATGGGGCTGTCGTCATTTCAAACATTACTGCATATGTCCATTTATCTTTGTCCTATATTTACCGTTGCCATACAACTCAGCTTCCGGGCCTTCATCTACGGCTGGCATGCTCGCGCAATGCTCGCGCTTCTTACAGCGTTGAATGTACAGAATAAGGGTACCCGGTTGTCCCTGTACAGATGCGATCATACGAGAGTCTGAGAGTTCAACGCTGCGTCGCAAATACCAACAAACGGATATTACTCAGTCTTGGTCGTCTTTGACGCGAGGGCCAGCCCGTCGACGATCTCGCCGCCCATGGAGAGGATCATGTAGCCTGAGCCGAGAAGCCATGCGCCGCTACGGTTGCGATGTCAAGTCAGCTTCCTTTCCGTGCAGCAATCCGCCTCTCCTGTTCGTGGGAAAAAGCTTACTTGGGAATGATCCAGAGGAAGAGGAGGTCCAGAGGGGGGTTGTGGCCAATGTTGTCAAAACGAGAGAAGTACTCGTTCGCCCCTGTCGCATCATCGTCGTTAGTACAGTATCGCTTCGCAGGGCTCCGGGAGCAAAAGGAAAGAGAGTCGCGCTTACAGTACAACACCGTCTTGCTCAACGTCATCACAGCCGCGCTGAACCCAATAACAATAGCCAGCGCGCCCGCCTTCCCACCAACAACCTTCTTCAACCCAGCCGGCCCGTCAACGGCGCGTCCTCGCGAGAAGTACAACCAGTAGTAGGCGAGATACATGACCGTCTCGATGGCGTTCAGCGCGCCCTGCGCAGAGGTGAAGCCGTTGCCGGCGTTGAAGGCCTTCCACCCGTACACGTGGTCGACCTCACCGTAGAGCTTGTAGGGCGCCCAGACGGGCCAGTGGAGGTGGCCGCCAGGCATCGTCCAGGGCCGGAGGAGGACGTAGCCCGTGTCCCAGATGACGAGGGGCAGGGAGACGAGGAGCCAGAAGCAGGTGAGGGAGGTTGGCGCGTGGGACCAGCCTTGCGGGGTGGATTTGTTTTCGGGTTGGGTTGTGGCTGCTGTTACGACGGCGCGGGCTTTTGAGGGGATGGTTGGGGAGGCTTCGGGGCCGGTTGAGAGGGCGCGGGAGGAGGATCGTGTTGAGACCATCTTGTTGTCGACGCTAGGTCTTCGGATTTGGGTAGGTTCGCAATGTGAGGGTATCGTGGAGGAGGAAGCGTTGGCTCGGTATGGCCCGTCGAGTCTTTGACGCGTTGTTTATCGGGTTGTGTATATGTGTCTTCGTGTACGTGTGCTCGATAAGTAGTAGTAGGGGAGGAGGAGGAAAGCTTCGGAAAGGTTAATTGGACCGAGAAGGACAAGGACAGGTAAAGCGACCGGGATCAAGTCAATTAGACTGCCCGTCCCAGTGTCCCAGGGACCTGTTCACAAACGGCCAGGAACCACAGAATACGTGATCCGTGCCGTTACACTCTCCACACAGGAACCGACCGGCAGTCCTGGGGCTTGAGGCTTGAGTAACGGTGGGTGGCACCCGAATACGACAGACGGACTGGCGCAGCGTGCGTGTGTCGCGACACTCTCAAACCTTCTTTGGCCCCTCGGAGCGGTCCTGTGCAGGCTTCCCGAAACGGTTCGCGCCTTCGCAGTACGTACATAGAGGGGCAGCGGCGCGATTAGTCAACCCGAGTGCCGCGTCCCCACAATTTCGCGGATGACTGGTGATCCGTGCTTCGCTAGCGAATTGCGGGGGTGGGGCAGACATGTCCAACAGGAAACATCACGAAGGTCTAGTCCGTCATTGCCTTCAAAGGTCGGTTCCTGGTCTGAATGCCGCTTACGACTTCAGCCAAGGCTGGTAACACCTGTATCTACCATTGAAACCTTGCGTGCTTGTGCTGATGCTTTTCCATTGACTAGCACATGTTTGCTCTTGTGGGTTTCTCCAGTTTGGCTGACGAGGCTGGACGAAACGAAGAGTGCCCTGTGAACTGTGTATCGAGTGATCGTTCAATGGTGCCTACGAAAACCAGAATTCTCGGTCCAACTATTACCAAGACATGTTTTCATTCCTTCGAGTCCGATCAGGCGAGTGCCTACCACTCTTTGTCATCTTTGACGCGTGATCTGGACAGGATGAGCACCAGTGTGCTCTTCTTTGGTGGCCTCTGTTCACCGCAAGGCCTCGATATGGCTTGTGGGGGAAAACGCGCTAACGCTAGCTCATTGGTACAGAGGCGAGGGGAAGAATGCAAGACTGTTGACTAGGACGAAATAACTCGTCATGGAACAATTCGTCTAATCCGATATAAGACAGAGCACCTCGCCTTCTTAAGCAAGCCGTCTGCCGGCAGCACAAAGCAGGCAATTCTCTTTCCCGAGAACCAGAAATCTACCCCACCCAGACGACTTCCAAGACTCGCAAGTTCTATTTCCAGTTGAAGCTCCGAGAAGATGGACATTCAACCGATGCATCACTACCGTACAGGGAGCGGAAGCTCTTCGCACACAGAGAATGGCTCGGAGAATGACTGGAGGAATGACACGAAGAGTAATGCGCAGAGCGACGCGCAGACCGACTCGGAGAGCGACTCGGAGACCAACTGTGGAAACGACTTACTACCCGAATCGTATAAAAATCAAGTACCAAATTTCACACCGATCTTAGGGTTGGCTCCGACGGTCCATAAGTGCCCCTACGGAAATTGCGGCAAGGGCTTCACCTCGAAAGCAAATTTCCGAAAGCATTGGATTGCTAGACATGGGCCACTACCTACATCGCGACCAAAAAGCGGTTCCACCACTCGTCGCGATGTCATAGTGCCTACCTCTACCAAGGAATTGTCTCATAGATTGTCGGAACTTCAAGTTTCAGATGTTCCTCAACGGTGTCATGACGCTGGTCTGGCACCCTCAATTGCGACCGCTCCAGAAGCATTTGTTGGAGATCCTGGGCTGGAGATAAGGGACGGACTTGGGGGTAACGTCTTTCCAGCAAAGCCTGGATTCGAACCGCCAAACTCTGGATTGAAGCTTCATCCGCTCGAATATCCTCGAGCTCAACCGGCCGAATTCAATGCACCTTCACTGAACACTGCGTCTGGAGGGCCGTTCATGGCAAACCCGAGAGACCAAGATGCCCACCGCATCATGAATGAATTAGTCCTTAAAGCTCTGCATGACCTTGAGGTCAGAGTGCAAATTACTTGTTGCCAGAAGACCACAGTCCAAGGTGAAGGGAAAGTGCCAACCAGGAAACGGGCTCGGGGGCCTGCAAATCAGCAGCAGCCGCCGAGCCGGAAGCGGCAAGCAGTTTCTCAGAGGCAAGGAGAAGAATCCAACGAGGATGACAACGACCAATCAAGCGACGACGATCTGGAACGCCACGGTCCTGAAGACGGGAAAGACGATACGGGTGCAGGCGATATGGACCTGAAATACCTGGCTTGCCCTCTCTTTCGAAAGGACCCCCGAAGATACGCGGCTTGCGCGAAAAGTCGACTGAGGCGTATCAGAGATGTCAAGCAGCATTTGAGACGAAAGCACACTAGACCGGAGTACTACTGTCCCACTTGTTGGGAAACATACTCGGGACCCGACGAGCGAGATGCTCACCTTATTCAACGCTCTTGTAATGGCCCAGAAGGGTCAGGCCCACCGTGGATTTCACGGGAGCAAGATACTCTATTAGAAGGAAGAGTTCCAAATGGATCAACGGCGCAACAGTGGTTCAGCGTGTGGGACATTGTCTGCCCTGGCCAGACACGCCCGGAACCTCCATTTTGTTTCTTGGGTAGGATGGTCGAGGACATTAGCACCTTCCGGAGAGAGCTCTGGGAAACCAAGGGCTCTGAAATTATCGAAGACCTCGTATCTCAGCGGGAAGCCACGCTCCAGGAACCTCTGACAGAGGAGACTAGGAGTCTGCTCCAGAGGTGCATCATGGACGCTGTCCGGCGTGTGCTGGAGCATCCTGATGTCACACAAGCAAGAGAGGTCCGATGGAACCAGGACAACGACCTTGCTGAGGCAGCTTCAGTACCTCAATCCTCTAACCGGGTCCACGATGTTTCTGAAGATGTTGCCCACGCAGTTCATCGCCAACCTTGTGGGACGCAAGATAACATACTCCAGGATGGCCACTCTTCCATTCCGAATCTAAGGCAGGCACTCCAGTTGGATGTCGAGCAGCAGTTCGAAGACTTTACGTCTTTCTGGAATCTGCAAACATCCGAACATGAAGGATTCGATACGGTCAATCGCAATGTCCTTGATACATTTCCGCCATAACAGAGATGAAACCACTTTCGATTCCGTTGCAGATAAGTGCATGAAGCTACCAAAGAGGACGGCTCTTTGATCTGCTGTTTATCTTCACGCAGCCTCAGCATGAGACCGTTTACATGTAGTCCTGTTTCTGCATAGCAGCTGGTCCATAACGCGGTTGTCGTTGTGCTGTTCATTAGGCAGGAAGGGCAACCTCTCGAGAAGTTCCAGTACCTAGAGAGAATGTATAATCATTGACAATCGTTAAATGGACCAAAATCGAATCTATTGTTGGGAAGCTCCTGTCCCGAATGCTAATTTCCCATGATATCTAAACTTACTTGAATTGATGCTCGATGAAGGGACCAAAGTCTTGAACTGGTTGGTGCGGGTATAAAGACACAATTGAAAGTATTGACGCTTAACGGAACTGAACTCCCTTCCATTTGCCATGGCCCGTTACAATTGATCCAACGGAACGAGAAAAAAAGTAGACAATGGAAAGAATGAGATGAGAAACACCAAATCAGTAGTGTAAGAGGCACGTCTTTGGAGACCCTCCGGGCTCACGCTGGCATTCGCAGTGTTCTGGCGGGAGGAGGTTGCTCGGTGACTGATAACCTTCGTTGTCGGCCGCGATTGTATGTTCGTCGAGGAGACGCGCCCAGGTGTCGGTAATGACCGGGTTGATGGTTCGTTGTCGCTGATTCAGCCCTTGCGGAGAGAAGTTGACGCCGGGTTCTGGCGAATGAAAAGGCGCTTGAGCTTGTCCGATGGCTGTGTAGTGCACTCGGGGGGAGGTGGTGTTGAGCATGGGATTTGTCCTGAAGCCAGACGTGTTGGTTCGGTGAGCTGTCCAGTGCTGCTGAGCACCGGGACCATGGTGATTCATTAATGCCAAATTGTATGATATGTGTGCTGCCCGAGCCTGATGGGAGTTCCTTGGAGCATTGAACGGTTGATATGAGCTCTGAAAGGGATCAAACGTTGAGCGGGGTTGCGATTCGTCGATGTAGGTTATGTTTGTCGGACCCAATGAGTTTGGGGGAGACATAAGAGAAGCCGCCGTGGGACTGAAATTGGGAAACACCTGGTTCTGGACAGAGCGCGAGGATGATCTGGAGGGGTGAAATGAAGGTGAAGTTGGTGGCTCCCGAATGCCGTTCGCAGCATGAGGATAATTGTGCTGCTCGACTGGCAATGGTGACACTCCCGGGCCTGGACCCCAGCTGTTGTCCAACACGCGAATGACTGCCTGGACGACGTGGTCATTCCACCCAAACTGTAGCCCAAGCTGCTGCACACCAACAGCCATTCTGGGCGCTACTCGTCGTCTTGTCGCAAGCTCGTCGACATCGTCAGAGTAGGGCGACGCAGGTCTCTGCTCGCCCGGAAAGACAATGTCCCAGATCTTGAACCAGAATTCCTTCTCATCTTCACCGCGAGACTTCTTCAGTCCTCGAATAGAGGCTATTTGGTCTTCATTGAGTCCAGAAGCATCGAAATCACAGACACCAGGGCGGCATGTTCGTGACCTTATATGTGCACTACGTTCTGCGAATGTGGTGAACAAGGAAAAGCAAATGACACAGTGAATGGGTTGCCGGTGGTTGCCTCTGCCTTCTTCTGTCAAGTGTCTCCTGATGTCCCTAACTTCGTCGAATTTGTAATGACGGCAGCACGCATGGGCGACAGTGTCGTGCGCGTAAAAGTGGCACGCGAAAAGCCTCCCCTTCCTGACTGCTTTGGCTTTGGGGGCGACTGCGACACGCGGGCGTTTTCCACCACGCCCGCGGCTCGTGGTGCTTGAAGCAGTGCTCCCGCTTGACTTGGTAGCTCTCTTCCTTCTTCGACTTTGGTCAGTTCCAGAGGCCACGCCCCCGGATCCGCTAGTCTTTTCAGAACCACCGCCTGTAGTGCTGCTCTTTGGTATGTACACGAGATGCTTGAGGTACAGTCCAGGCGCGGTGTACAGTTCTCGAAGGAGCTGTGGAATCGGCGGGCGGGCGAGTAAATCACTAAAGGCTCGCCAGCCTGTAGATGAATGTCCACTGATCTGGGAACTTGGATTCTCGTTGGGGCAGAGCGCTGCTGGCACCCACTTGGCGAACAGAGCGACGGCAACTGGCTTCAGCAGGTAAAGACCAGTGCCACAGACCGCGAGTAAGTTGTAAAGGCCATGGCGAACTTTGACGTCGTCTATTTTAAAGACTGGCCACTGAGAACATGTATGCTGTGCGAGAGTTGGGCCGAGGTGACGGGAGGGTGTTTGCAGTACCGCAACGCCGGCCGGAGAGAGTTGAACGTGGGAACGATTTAGTTGTGACGAGAGAGAACTAAAGAGCGAATCAAAGAAAGTCGGACAGCCTTCCAGGGCGTCTGCAGCGGTGGAACAAACGTCGACGACCGTACACGGGCCCGATGACTGGCCCAAACTGTTACCCCCGACGGTTGACAATCGGTTGGCTACAGTGTCTGAATAGACGATCAAGCCACTTGAGAACCTCAGTAGCAAACTCATCGACAAAGGTGGTTGGAAACGAAACGAAATGCTTTCAGGCTGTTGGCTGAGAGCGTCTACGAGGCGACAGCTATATGATATGCCTGTGGAATTGTAGGAAATGAGAAAGGAGGAAAGAAACCAGCGACGGCTTCCATCTGTGAAAAATCCTAGACTCCAGTCGCCTCCTCAACCAACTCCTCCCCTTAGCGCGGCTGCCTTCCCGTCTCCTGGTAATCAACATCTACTCCCAAGTTCTCACGCCCCGATGAGGGCCTCCGATGAGGCTCTTCGGCCGGGCAGCTTGTAATTCTCAACGTACGGAGCTCTGCACAGCCATCGTAGATTTGTCGGGGCGGACGCGGAGGCGTCCTGTTCCGTATCCATGCCATCGATCTGTTCAGTATCGCGTCTTCCTCACGGCTATCACGCTCATCGCGAGGCTGTCTCGTATGCCGACTCCTGATCCAATGATCTGAATTCTCCCTTGATGTGAGTCCTGTCGTCAGTCACTTGATTTGCCAGGCTTTCGAGGCGTCTCTTCCTCACCGCCCAGCACTCGAGGTCAATGCACAAGGCAAGCCGTTGCCTCGCGCCACAACAGCCCCTAAGGTCGAAAATCCTGATCCAGATGCGCGGTGTTACAAGGCATTTTTCTACTTTGATTCCACCTGTAGACATGCATCTACGTCACTGCCGGGCAGTTGCGCATGACAAGCGGGCGGATTTACACATCGAAACGCGCGAGTGCTCGTTTCTACAATGATGGAAATGCGTGATGTACGTACAATAACGACACGCCCCCTAAAGGCGAACCACTTCATACAGTTCACAGCAGTTCGCCGGGCCACAATTTAGAAAGCGAGCGCAACTGCTCAAGAAATCACTTTCGATTGCGCACAATTGCGCTGCGCGACAGTCTGGCGAAATGCGCAGTGAAGGAAAAACTCGTGATATTAGCCACCTGGAAAGACGTAGAAAAGACGTGAAAAAACACTCTGAACTTGAGCACGAGGTGTTCTCTGAATATGTTTCTTGGTCATGAAACGTTCGTCCAAGTAAAAACAAATCAAGCAACCTTGTAGAATCACTCAGAAGAACCAGTCCAGTTGGAAGCTCGAGATGCCGAGCAGCGATGTACACTCCCTCCATGCAGGAGACTCGAGGTGGGTGCTTCAGTCCCCAACCGACTTTCGTCACGCTCATTGATTAGCAGCAGCTCAGGCAAAAGCGGCCAGCGGGCTGTGCGAACCACCAGACTTGAGGCGTGGATGACGGAGGAACCGCCAATCCCACTCGCGGCTTACGGTCTCGCACAGACAACCAGCAAGAGCCAAGGAACACACTCAGGAATTAGGAAATTTGATCAGGCGTGGGAGAAGGCTGCGAGGAGATAAAGAAGATACCCAGCACACATCACACAAACAACGAATGCTGACTTCGAATTTCTTGACTTTGACTTAGAGCCTTTATGTTGGTTCGCCAACAAAGTGACTTGGGCTGGACGCCCTCAGACCATTAGACGGACACTGTGCACTTTCAGGCTGCAAATGCGTGCCCTAACTTACACCTACTGTAGCTAGGGAGGCTTGTCTAAGGTTGCACAGCCCTAATTTCTGCAACCATCTCGCTCCCTTCCAGTGGGGGAGACGTGCCCCAATCCAGCTTGTCACACCTAACGCATCTCAATTTAAGCCTGGTACTTCTGCGCCGGCATCAACAACACGAATTTGGGTAGTGTGGAATAGATAGGAAGGACATTTGGTCATGTGCGCGCCTCAAATCCTGAGGAGAGAATGGAAGAATTTGTCCTATAAGTTTGGAAATCCCACCTACCATTGACACATGCCCCTGAATCGAGAGAGATGTTCTGGGACTTCGAAGAAACCGCCTCAGCTAGCTTGTGACTGCTAGTACCCAGCTCGAGAGCTCAATGATGGACCTAAGTCTTCAGCATCGAGAGTATCCCCCCAACGTAGACGAGGCTTCCCAGCTATCGGGCTCCTACTTCGTCGTTCCCTCGCCCACCACGACGTTTTGGGAGGAGCTTGAGTCGTCTTGGCCCTGGCTCCCTTCTCTCCAGGACCAAACACAGACGTCTTACGGCGGTGAGAATGAGTAATGTGCATGGAAGATTGAACATCACTAAGAGAATTGTAGAAGAGCTTCCTGGAAGTCACTTTCTTGGCGATTGGGTTCAGCTGCCGCTTCCAGAGTTACCGTCCCTCGGCCCTGCTCTCCCGCAAGACCGCCCTTCGAAGTCACAGAATGAGGCGTATCTTGAGTCATCGGATTGTCAGGCTGCAGCAATCCCCGGTGTTCATGGCCAAAGCTACTTTTGTCAGCCTTCACAAGGTGGGTTTTGGGAAATTCAACCCCAGATGGGCTGGTTTATACATGACAAATAGACTGACATTGCTCAGATTGTGACATGAAGACCTTTCCTGGACCAAGCGTAGTCCTACCAAGTCACTACCAGTGGTCGAGACAATCTATCCACGATCGGAATGACATCTCATCTAGC